AAAGGCATATAGAGAGAAGGCGTCAAGAAAGAAAAGCCAGATGAAGAGGTAGGGAGGGGGGAAGAAAGGGAAGGAGTGATACTCAATTTTTATCTGTGCCTAAGGGAGGTGTTGCATTTTGTAGCAAGAGAATGGTCGGGCCAAAGAGAAAAAAAGCTAGGTTCCCTACTCACAGGTGTGTAAGTTGGTAACCTGAGATCTGTGTTACTTTATTCCATTTGTAAAATAAGGATAATAATTGAAGTATTTTGTAATCTAACAGTGGAAAAGATGTTGGTAGGGTAACGATCTCTTGATGAGAGGTGTAACCATTGAGATCAGAAGAAGATTAGAGTGCTCAGAACTTTGCAGCTGTATTGAAGGCATTAAGTGGTCTTTGATGAGATTTGGTTTTTTTCAGGAATTTTGAGACTCTCACAGGATTCACACAGATACAGAAAATCCTGAGAAAGCAAGAAAACATCTATTAGGAAAGCACAATTTATAAATGAAAAAAACTCTTCAAATGCATGGTCCAGCATTTTCAAACCTTTAGTTAGGTCCTGATATCAAAGAGCCTCAATTACTTATTTTGCTTAAAGCAGTTTTTTTTTTTACTCAGACCATTAGAGAGCCATGAATAATTTATGTTGGAAAGGACCCTTACGATCATTAAGTTCAACTGTTAACCTAACACTACCAAGTCCATCTTGCACTGATTTTAGCTTGTCATCTGTCCTTGCCCGTTTTTGGTCACAACAGTGTTTTTCAATGAGTTTTTACATACTTTGCAGATGGCGAACCTGCTCCTGCTTGGAACTCATTCAAGTTTTCCTAAGACCAGTGGAGCCTACCTTTGATCCATTTTTTAGAATGTTCCTTGAATTGCATCTTTCTGAAAACCAACTTCTTTTTGGCTGTCCCTTCAGCAGAGAAATAAATCAATCTTGATTTCCCCCCCACAACTTTGCCCCAGATTCACTGTAAAGGTAGTTTTAAAAGTTTTTTTAGCCATCCAACCTTTGTGAAATAAAAAGGTCTGGTTTCCATACTGGTTTTATGATTAATTGATGTAAATGTCTTGAAGGCATAATTTGCAGTGAAAACTTAAAGGTTGGGCTTTTTAAAATTTCCTTTAGCTGGGACTTTAGTAAGACTTTCTTTTGTCTGAAGTGCACTGTTTTCTATAGCAGTACTGCATTCTGTTGAACAATTTGCTTTGAGAAACTGTTACTGGCCAGGGGGCTGAAAAGTCTTTGCATATGGGGCAAATGAGCACCTACCTTCACGTAGACCAGGCTCTATAACCTCAATTCCAGTAGATGCTTTTGTCAGGACTCCAGGTAAAGTTATTAGCATCCATAAGAGCAAGGAAAAAGTATTTAACGGTCTGCTTTTAGTAAGTTTAAGGAGCCTTGCTTATGCATAGAGGCTATTTTCAGGTGTATTCTCAAAGTCTATGTCCAAGCGTGTATCAATGGAACATTTAATAGCTCCTCAGTGTACTTCAAGAAACCCCCTTAAGCTTCAGAACAGATAGGACTTTTTGTAGTGTCGATTTCTGCTAGCCCATGGAAAAACACAGGAACAGGTGTTTCTCAGTATTCCCATGCATTCTAGTACAGATCTTTGTCAGTTAGGAGGGCAGTTATTCCTTTGGTTTTGTCTTAAAAATGTCACAGGTATATATTTCAGCAGCAAGGTCTACCACATAAAATTGGTGTAGTGTGAGGTTGAAACAAGCTCCAAAGGTCTGGGGTTTAATGCTAGGTGTTCTCAGAGACATAAATCTGTCTTAATGATTCAATGTGCCAACTGAAAAATGTAAAGGCTCGTGAGCAGGTTGTTAAGTATATACATTGAGCCATTTTTGTGTCATTCTTAGCAGAGAACATTATGTTGGATGTTTAGGCAGAGTTAACAGGCAGTAGAGTCAATTATATAAATCTTTAATTATACACTTATTTTCACTAAAGACTGCAATTTTTTCCAGTCATGCTAATGATTCTAGCACAACACTAGGTAATGAGTGTCTATTTATTGTCACTGGAGGATACATTTGCAAGAATGATAAACCTCTCTCATTATAGGAGGTAAAATTGCCTGCCAGTCCTAAAGTTGTTTGCCAGACCTCAAGAAACTGACTAATAAACACATCCGTTGTACAGGTTTTCATTTACCCTGTAAGCATTTGTGGCACTTTTGTTGCTTTTCACGTGCTGCTGTAACACTCACTGAATTAGCTTTATTAAAATCAAGGGATTTACAGCAATAATATAAAAGTGTTATTATTTTATTCATTAAATGTAAGGACAACTAAAACTTGATCCTACAGACAAGTACACGTATTCTCAGAGTACTGTAATCCAACTTGCTTGCTTTTTTAATTTTAGTTCAGGAATGCAATTTTAACACAAGTTATTGCATATATAGAACAAGTGGAATACATTTTTCTTGGAAAATTCTGATTTATTAAAGCTGAATTTTGTGTTGGCAGGCCATCAAGGCTTTCTTGGGGAGGAGGTTGTCTGTATAAACAAAATTGAGATTTGAATGCTTCAAAAAGCTGCTTTTATTTTTTCTTGATTTCTACCTGTTTCCTCTTCCCATATTTCATTATATTATTTTGTTTGTGAAATGCTTTGCATGTACCAGCGTGCATGTTTTTTTTTCTTTTATATCAATTACAAATGTTTGAGAATACTTGTTATTTTCTTCTGGTGTACTTAATAACTTTGTCTTGAACAATTTACTACTTTAAACTCCTTTACTGACAAAAGGAAATGTTGCGCTTTTATCTAAAAATTCTTAATATAGCTAGCACGACTTTCATGATAGGTGCCATGCATAAATGGTCCCAAAATTTTGGAAGCTGCATATCATTACGGTCACTTCAAACTTTATTGCAATGAAGACTGGACTACATGAACATTCAGATTTTGATACTTCAGTTTTCAATTGTTATTTGTACACTTTGGATGTCTCATTTCCCATTTTAGGGATGTTTACAGATTAACTTTGGGCTTGATCTTGCAAATGCTGATGAATGTATAACAAAACCTAATTAAACCCTGTTTTGGCCAATATACCTCCAGACATTTATTAGCACTCTGTCTGAAAGTTGCTTGTAGGAATTAGCGCTAAACTTGTAGGCTACTTGGCTTTCATTAAGGAAGCAAGAATTTACCTTGTTTAAACAGCCTTTAAGCAAAGGAGATGGTAAATAACAGATTAATCTGTTTTTCTTTTCTGGCATTTCTTACGCAGATTTCTATGGAAAGCCTCTGCCCCCGCTGACTATACGCCAAAGACCCAACGGTGATACCCATGATGTCATTGCTTAACTGGATCACAAAAAGCATTTAAAAAACATTAGTAAAAAATTATATCAGTAATGGTTTTTGCCCTTGGAGGAAAATTTTTAAAATGACAGCCTATCAGCTTGTCACAAAACAACTTGATGACAATTAAACATGGAGTTCATTCTACCGTACTTAGTTGATCAGACTTTGTCATTTACTTTTCACATCACCAGCTCTTCTTCAGGATTTCACATGAAATCAAAAAGGTCTATGTGTCTGTGGATGCTCATAAGAACACGGTATTGAATATTTGTTGGGTTTACTTATGAAAATACATAGCTGTAAACCTGAAGAAAAATACCTTCAAGATCACATAATACTGGGTCGTATGTTCTCACCAAGACCTTTCTCCAGGTGCTGCACAGTGGTTGGTATTTTTGCAGCTAATAAATAGTTCTAAAGCATTTTGTAAGATTCGTGTATGATAGAGTGAATATAGGAAGGTTATGCAACAAATATTGAGTATATTTTTCTAACTTTTTATAAAATTATTTGAAAGTTTGAGTGGACACGCTTACCTACTACCAATAAAAGGATACCTAGAAAGCATGAGAAAGCTGATAGTCAAATGCATACAAGTAGAGTATGTTTGACTCTTACATTTCTCTTACAGTAGCAATATCTCTTTAGGGATTACATTACCAGATGCATATTTTGTATTTCTGGCAATCTAAAGGGGGAGGAAGGTCAAAAGGGAAGTTTAAGATAAATACATTTTATACAAAATTATGGTATTTGAATTGTCTGAAGGTTTTCTTATGTATTGTTTTCTTTGTTTTGTTAACTGAGTTTGGCGTAGGTCAAAAATGCAGCTGGAAAAATAGAGCTGAATATTGCATTCTCTGCTACATCATACAAGAAAATTGCACAAAGTGAAAGTTTTGCACTAATTCAGTCATCAGTTCTGATGGAAAACTGAGTCAACCAGTGTGCATATAAGCTCCAGCACTTTTTAATCTCAACAATACTACGATACCATCTTGAAAACAAAAGAAACTCCAGATTTTTAAGGTCTTATATAATAATTCCCTGTAATGTGTTAATTTTAGATTAAAAAAATCACATACAAGTGATACATAAACAACAAGGGTGACAATTGGATATATTTCTATTTAAATGTTCTGTATACGCTGTTCCTCCTCTTACAGTGGAGACAACCGTTGGTATATTGTGCAAAGGTATATTGTTACGCCACCTAGTTACAGCAAGGATGAAACCCCCATTCAAAGGTTTTTTGAAGAAGCATTACCTGATGATTTTCTATTACTCTCTCGGTCTTCCATAACATGTTGTTTCGAAAAGGTTTTAGTAGATGTTAAAACAATGCAATGCATATATCCAGCATTCTGACATTAGAAATCTTTATCATATACCCCTTAAGCAATGAGTTACACAAATAAGGATGAAACAATTTGTATGTGACTGTCAGCATGAGGATACTTTTGTTGTATTCTAACAGCGTGACACAGTTCAGTTTGATTATTCTCAGGATTTACTCATTTTCATTTCAAACAAACACAATATTAAGTGGAGGGGGGGAGTGCATAAAAGTTTACTTGTGCAGTCTCAATTTTACTGTCTTTAGCTATGTTACCACTTAATTTTTTTGGCTTAAAGGCTCTATTTGCAGGCTTTTTTTTTTTTTTTTAATTTTTTTACCGCTTCAGTTTCTATAATGTATTACCCTTTTATTTTAACACTAATCTAAAATAAATTAATAGAAGTCTTTATTAAAAATAAAGCTAAATGCTGCTGTGGAAACAAAATTTGAGAAACTGAAAAGGAAGATGTTGATGCTTATGTGAAATGTGTGTTATGCGTGTTGTGTGTATGGACACATGTATAAGTTTTGTTTCTGCTTTTAAAATAAATTTTACCAATATGTGACCAAAGTACTAAAAAATGTTTCATGCAGTTTTGTTTATTAATATGCTCTATAATTATTTACTACTGTGGTTTTTTTCAGTAATTTATACTACCTTGACTTTTTATGTGCTGAAGATGACATTTATGTATAGAATAAAACTAATGCACAGCATCAACGTTTCCCATATTATCATAAATGTGCAATTTTTTGGAAGCAAGTATAGTCATAAATGTTTAATGGCTGCAAGACTTGTTTACATTGCTAAAATGTACAAAATAGCTTATAGATGGAATCTTTGCATATTTTTACAACTGCAATGTGATCAAATTTGGAAATATATTGATAGATTGGCACCAAGTTTTATATATATGTATACATATAAAGTGCTTTGATAGTGCACTTAATATTTGAGAGGTAATAAGTTGCACAGTTGTAAGTTGAGAGGTAATAATTATTGCACAAATGACAAGCTTTCATCAGGTTCTGATGCTTTTCATTGTCAGTAACATCACTTTCAAAATGTATCAATGCGTTCAGCTAAGAGTATTTGCACTTAAATACGTGAGTGGTAAGTATACAGAAATATGCTACATAAGCAGAACATTTTGCATTATCTATGTGCAACATTTTAAATACATTTTAGACAAAATATTTTAAAGGTAAGCTAAATATATCTTCTAAGATAAGGAATAATAATTTTCATGAGCTGAATTAATGTAAAAGGTAATCGGTGCTTCAAAATAAGTCATTCTCATCGTTGTCTTCCTTTTTAGCCAAAACCTAGAATCCACAGAAGGAACTTACTTGGTGGTTTAAAGGTTTTAAATAGAAAAGAATAATGATAATTGTGTTATTAAAGGTGGGTATATCCATTAAGTTCAGTTTCACAACTGTGCCATGGTGTCTCCATGTAAATAACACACAGTAAGCAAGGGACGCCCATATTGAGGTGAGACAGAAGCACTGCGATTTTAGAGGAAGCTGTTGAGAATCTTGTGCAATTTCCATTTCAATTCCACAATCCTGATGGAGAATTGGAAAGCTTTAAAAAAAATTACCTGCAATGGACAGCTGATGCCAGCTTTCTAATGGCCCTCTTGTGAGCCCCAGTTACGAGGATCAGGATGAAAGCCGCAGGGCACCCGCGGGGAAGGCCGGGAGGCGAGTGTGAGCGGCAATCCTCGAGCACATCGGTCACCCCCGCTGGCTAGCTGTGCGGCCGTGGAAGCCCCCGTGCAACGGGCTTTCAGCCTGTGTTCTCTCTCACTTTCTGGGCTGTGAATTCTGCATGAGCATTACGAAGGCTGTGGTGATTATCCTTTCCTTGAAACCCAAAGAACCGTAACTGTTCTCCAGAGGCCTATCTGTCACTTAAAAATGGATTTTTCAAGTTTTACTATTTCAGATGACTTTTAAAATAAGGTTGGCAGGAGTGGGCTCATGACAATTTTCTTCTCCAGCAGAAACCAGTAATTTTCCTGAGAACAGTTACTTTTGCATATAATGATGTCGCATTAGAAAAGATTGGTGGACAGTAACCAAGCAGCACAGGCTTTCTTTTTTTGTTTGTTTGTTTGGTTTTTTTGTTAAACAACAGTCAAACAGTAATTTTTCCACTAAGATATTCTAGTATTCTAGTTGAAAGCTTAGGACTCTAACTTCAGGATGGTACCCGCTAACTTTGCCATACTGTCACTTAGCTTCCTGGCTTCTGGAATTCATTCAACTTAAAGTATTTTACTATTTTGAACAGAACGTACCCCACAGTATTTCAATATATGCATCTGTAAATGGAGCGAGGAACTACATTTAAAAAGTAACTGTAATTTGAAACAAATTTATCTTAGGACAGAAGAATCGCTTTCTTGTTTGGTTGGTTTTGTGAGGGGCTGGGGGGGAGGGAGGGTCCTATTTTCTGCCCCTACTGTTCACATAAGCTGTATTTTCTTACTTAGGATTTCTCTGGCAACTGCTTTACAGTAACAAAACCGCTGCTTTCCAAAAGATTGTAGGTAAATGGACCATGGAATGGTTAGCAATCTATGTATACTCCTCAGGGAATACGAATTTAAAATCACTTCAAATTCTCTGCACTGCCAGGCTAGTGGAAAGATTGAGAGAGGGAAAAGCAGAGTGAGGATGAGTAACAAGAAATTAAGTCCTTGCATCAAGCCAAGTATGTGGGTTAAACTTGTGAAGACCAACAAAGCCAGGTGAGCCTGAATAAGGCAGCCGTGCTACTGAAATAATGATTCACAGATAAGCAACTAGATAATAGGGTGAATGCCTGTGGATGAATAGGAGATTCAGGATTGTGTAGCGTATACATACACTTCCAAATTTTCTTCAGAAGGTAGTAATTTTGCAGACCTCAAACTGATGCTTAGTCGGTCTTCCCACGATGTTTGCATTTGCTACTGCAAAAAGCAGTGTCCTAAAATCCATCATGCACAAAAATAGTCTTAAAATAAGTTTCACAGAGAGTACTACATTCCAGTAGCATTAATTTATGTGATCTTCGAATCTGCATATTTTTTATCCTAAAAGTCACGCTGTCTACGACTTTGATTTCTGTAAAACTAGCAAGATTTTGCTAAGTCTGTCCTAATACAACAAACAGGGAGAATATTGTTTGCTTGTGTCTTTCTAAATTACTACATAATAATGGTGAAGACTCAATTTGCACTTGCTCCAGGAAGCTGTGGACACCTGGAAGTGAACAGTGAAAGTCACAGTAACGGCCTGTCCTGCCTGTTTGCTGGGCTTGGAGGATGTTGAGATGCTGGTGGTGGTATTTCTGAACATTGACTCGCATTTTAAGACATTTCATCCATCCTCCGTGCTCTGAAAGTGTCAGGGGACAAGAGGGCATACACTATACAGTGTCCTCTTCCTTCGCTTCCCTTAAACGCAAGGACATGCTTAGAAAACACAGGTTTGCCCTAAGGTAACTTTAGAGGGAATATGTTAGCTTAAGGGAACTGTAGGCTGAGGTTATAGCGGAGTTGTGGAGGTACAATGGATTTTGCAGAAATGAGAGGCAGCTTGTGGTTTGTGGTTTAACAGGGCACCCAGGCATGCACTTAACGGTCCCTTACAGTGGCAAGCATAGTTGCTTGGGTGACAGAAATCACATAGTTTTGGACTGCTTTTTATTAAGAGGAGCAGTAGCCTGCCTTTCAAAATGTACCAGAGTTACTTCCCCCAGAGCCAATCCATCTCTTCAGTCGCATGTGAGAGAGAGACAGGTTGCAGTAGCATTTTTACTGTTTTCTTGAAGTTCGTCTGTCTGTGATAGTGGTGTTGCTAGTGAACAAACTGTTTAGTTGAAGTCCTTTCTTTGTTTCTGATGTGCACATCTTACTGGTTTCAGACATATTAAGCAACTCTGACAGCACCACCTACAAGTGGAATAGAGCCCTAGGTTTAGGGGAAGGTGGGACATTCAGCGTACTTTTTTGTTTTATTGGTACAGGAAAATTCAATTATTTTATTTTCTTGTATGTTACTGGTTTTGCCGAGACATGTAGACACAGAGAGCTGTACTTTTTACACCACATTTGTTCTCTATCTGTTGGTACAACTCATTTATCAAAAAGCCTTTCTGGTTTCCTTTCACATTCGGCACGTAGGAGGGTCTCCATTTTGTCTACTGGTGCTTTGTCAGGATCCTGATTGAAACATTTTTAAATAAGCTTTCAAGTTTGATGGTAATTTGCATGAGGTTTGCATAAGCGTTCTTAGTCTTCGTTCATCAGTGTCTGAAACTCAAATATTTATCTATATGATAGCACTCACGCCTTTTACCGTTGCACTCCTTCCCAGCCTGGATTTTCAGAGGCCAGTTTTTGGTGCACGGAAGCTGCCTGGGCAGCCGTTAATCAAAACTGCCATTAAACAAACTTGCCGTTTCCGTGGGGGTTCTTACTGAAGGAGTCGGCAATGCGGATGGACAAGCGAGCTTTGGGGGGAGAGGGAAGGCGCTGGTGGCTGTGTTGGGCTAGGCCAGGAGATGCAGCAGGAGATGGCCGGCCAAGCACGGCGCCCTTGCGGACAGGAGGGCTTGGTGGGTCCCTGTGCCTCTGCTCGGGTGAAGCCGTCAGAACAGGATCTGCCCGAGCATTTTGGCAGCCTCACGCTTTCGTGCTGCTAAACCAGTTACAGTTGGGGTCTGGCGGGTCCCCTGGTCACCCTTCCCAAAGAATGGGTTGCATGAAAATGTGCAAAGGCGTTTGTGTGGGTAATTCCCAAGCTTCCACCGGTATTTCCTTGCGGTAGCCCAATCCCCGTTTCTCTCCCGGAGAGGCGGAGGGCACCAGAGGGGGCACCCAGGCCTCCCCACGGTAAAACCAAACCAAACCAACCTCCCCCTGAACCTCCTGGGAGCACCTGGACAGGAGGAACGTCTTTTCAGTAGGGCCAGCTGTGTTAGGACAAGGGGAAATGGTTTTAAACTAGAACAGGGTAGGTTCAGGCTAGAGGTAAGGAAGAAATTTTTCACAATGAGGGTGGTAAAACACTGGAACAGGTTGCCCAGAGAGGTAGTGGAGGCCCCATCCCTGGGAACATTCAAGGCCAGGTTGGATGGGGCTCTGAGCAACCTGATCTAGTTAGCAGTGTCCCTGCTCACTGCAGGGGGGTTGGACTAGATGACCACTAGTGGTCCCTTCCAACCCTAAACATTCTATGATTCTATGATTCTAAGA